CACACACACACACACACACAAAAAAAAAAAAAAAAAAAAAAAAAAAAAAAAAAACACATTAACCTGTGTGCATGCACCAGGGGCAGTTGCACACACCCAGCGCCCTACACCTGCAAACACATTGTCCGCATCACACAGCAGTGCACGCCGTACATGTGTGCCACAAGAATGCTGCATTCACAATCCATACTTGCACCCCGCAATTTGCATGCATGTGAAATACGTACATGCAGTATACAACCGCACCATTCGTAATCCAAATTTGCATGCAAACTGCACACACCCACCAAGCGCACCACAGTCAAGCGCATGCACCTGTACAGCCACCCAGAAAAGTCCCCCAACAAAGATACACGTGATGTAAGGAATTGTTTCAAGACCTGGTTGGCCTTTCAACACTCCACATTGTCCACAGCTTTCTTAGATTTTACGTCTTTGACTTCATAAGTTATTCAATGTTTTTGGCTCTGTGTCCCACTTTTTGGTGAGCCACACAGCACACAACACGCAGTACAAGGACGATGTAAACACAACCAAACTGCCCTTCACTCATCGTCCTTGCCCTTGCAAGGGCAAGTATGATGAGTGGAAAATTTGAAGTCGTGAGAGTGAAGGGCAGTTTGGTTGTGTTTACATCGTCCTTGTACTGCGTCACGACTTCAAATTTTCCACTCATCATACTTGCCCTTGCCTCCAATTACGACTCTGATGAACTTGGTCCCTAAGATTGAAAGCATATAATGTGCCACAAAATCAATATTCTGCAATGATAATACGGATCGTATAGAACAATGAACCAGATCACACCCTTACCTCACCCATTGCCCAAAGTGAATCTGCAGGCTTCACACGTGTCGCAATGTGTACATGCCCCAGGACCTCAGCTGGCCTCCTATGAGCACCTGCGAGCATCAGGAAAAATATTGAACTCTCAATCCCCAAAGGAATTCAACCCGCATACCAACTGGGCTAGCCCAGTTGGAACACCCCTCAACTGTTGAAATGTAGACCTGAGTTCAAACTCCACTGCAAATAGATGAGAAAAATACTACAATTTTGAGTTACCTAGGGCCAGTGAGTACAATGATGATACCTCAAGGTTGTCGCCCATTTAAAAAAAAAAGGGAAAAAGCATACTTGCGGCGCGCGCGCCATGCGCTCACGGGTGATGTGTGCGAACGTGCGCACCAGTGCGCTGTAGTGCGGCCGAGTGACCCCCATGCCTGCGCACCTGCGGATGTGCCTTACTTTCCTTTTTTTTTTCGTGTGTGTGTGTTTGTGTGTGCGTCTGTGTGCGTGTGTCTGTGTGTGTGTGCCCTTGATACAGGCGTGTTTGTCTGCTGTGCCACGACATCATTCCCCTGACACTATCGGGCCGAACAAAATGCCTGTATCAACGGACACTATTGATTCTCGACAGAGGGCATTTTGTTCAGCCCTATAGGCCGTTGCTTTTCCTTTTTTTTATCTTATTTGTTTTTGTCTTATTTTGGAAACAGTCACAGCCTCGCTCCACTGCTCTACACATGCACAAAAGACTAAAATATGGAGGTGTATCTTTCCATCTTGTTGCGGAAGATTCACTCTCATTTTGCACATTTGGAGAGTGGTGGAGCGAGGGCCATACAACGGTAGCCTGGGGCCTCGCTCCTCCACTCTCCAAATGTGCAAAATGAGAGTGAATCTTCCGCTAGAACATCGAAAGATACACCGCCATATTTTTTGTCTTTTGTGCACGAGTAGTGGAGCGACGCCCTTACATCGCACCCGGCTACAGCTGGACTTGCAGCCCTCATGTGACAGAGGGCCTCGCTGCACTACTCTCGAAATGTGCAAAACGAGAGTTAATCTTCCGCTAGAATACGGAAAAATACACCGCCGTGATTTTTGTCTGTTGTGCATCTCGAGAGTAGTGCAGCGAGGCCCAGAGGCCCGACGGATTCTGGTGGCAGGTTCAACTACTCTCCAATTTGTGCAAAATTAGAATGAATCTTTCACTAGAGCATGGAAAGATACATCGCCACGTTGTTGGTTTTCAACTTGTCACGGACATTCTCTCTCTTTTTTCTTTTTTTTTTTCAGCGAAAGCACCAAGGAGACACAACTGTCAGTTCTGTCGTTTTCTATATGTGGAATGAGACAAAAGCAAGGGTTCCACAGATGCATCCTCATCATGACCGTATTGGACCTCTGAAAGGGCTCAGATACACTGAAGATAGTATGGAGTTGTGTACAGCGAACATGACGACGCACAGGATTTGGGGCGGCGCGGCCCTGAAAGAAATTTGCACGGGCAATGTCCTAATTTTGGCTGGGCGTGAGAACTTCGATTCATGCCCTCCCCAACTTTTTTTTTTTTTTGGCTGACCCCGAATTTTGCCCATGCGGTGCACAGGGTGCGGGCGCCAGGTGTGCAACACGCAGTGCGCCACTCGTGCGCAAGTGGCGCGCACGGGATGCGCCGCAAGTATGGGAAAAAGTGAAGAAAAGCAGAAGAAAAAAGAGGGAGAAAAATGGAATTCATATGAGCACTCGCAAAGCATTGGGATCAACTTTCAACTTCCCATTCCAGAAAAAATTCCACCCCACAAACAGTTATCCTCCTGTGATAGGAGCAATCAATGGTGTTCAGGGTCATTCCTCCTTAAGCACAAGGGTCATTCCTCCTCAGAAGCACGACGCAGATTTGTACAAGGGGCCTTCCTCCTTTACAAGCGCCTAAGAAAAACGAACCTCCTGTGGAGCACTTTTTTCTGTTTTTGGCTGGTGCCATTGAACATTTCGTTCTGGTGGCAATGTTCATCCAAAGAACCCAGATCGGCGCAATTTTCATTCTAAGTTTGCCTGGGCGAGGTACTATCAATTCAAACCGAAACCAGCGGCCGCATATATTGCTTTGTTACATCTGTGACTTGCAAATGGAAAAAGAACCAGCCTGGAGCTCTCCAGAACAGAAAGGACGAGTCAGGGCCAGAAGGCCACGATTAGAAAAGGAAAAAGGATATGAAGAAGAGAGAGAAATGCAACCCCACTTGACATGGAACAGGTTGTTGCAGATCCGCTTATGCTGTCGAAGAAAACTACACATGACTGAAAGGCCACGATTAGAAAAGGAAAAAGGATACGAAGAAGAGAGAGAAATGCAACCCCACTTGACATGGAACAGGTTGTTGCAGATCCGCTTATGCTGTCGAAGAAAACTACACATGACTGAAA